ACTAGGTGTACCAATGTAAAATTGTGTTTTCTTTTTCAAAATAAAAAGAAAGTTTATCTCATAAAATGCTATAAAAGCGATTTGGTTTTGCGATTTACCTATACGGTCCGCGTAAGAACAAGTCGTCCTTTAATCCGAATTAACGATCAACACCAAAAACAACAAACACATCTTTTATTTCCATCGTTCGAGCAAAAAAAAATGTGTTTCTCACGTTTCTCACATTTGCCTGTGTCTGACAGATGTTGATGTTGCAACAAAATGCCGTATATGTCGAACTTCTATACACCTGAGGTCGCCACCTATTTCTTAGTTCCTTATTTCCTACTTGTATACCTCACAACATGAAGGGAGTCACTTTGAGATTATTCATATGTCTTGCCTGTTGTATTTAAACAGAAAGACCGATTTTTGTAATGTGTTTAAAGTGTCCAGATTAGAAGTTTCATTTAGAACAAAAAAGCTAAAGCAAACTTTAGTCTGAACCGTATCACCAATTATAATAAACAGAAATGAATGAAATTGATATGAATTAGATAAAGAATTGAAGCAACGCTTAAGGCTTATTATGAAGACGAAGAAACTGTACTGAGCTTTACAACTACAATCTAAGCTTCGTCTGAAACACAAAGTTTTATTGTACAAGACCATTTAAAAACCGGTATAAACATATGGGATATAACTATGGGGGACATCCAGCAATTCAGTTTAATCACAAATGCCTCTTGGTTTGTGAGCAATCATATTTTACACACCGATCTTAAAGTCCTGAAAGTTAAAGGTGAAATAAAACGCTTTAGCAGCAATTACTTAAACAGATTAATTCTGTATCCTTACATTTTAGCTGCCTGTAAGCCTAAGAGATTGAAAAAACACCACATATTAGACCTCCCCTTCATATAGACGCATTACTCTTAATATATGCTCAAAACCTTAAATCCAAGATACGCGTGAAAAAACGTTTTGTACAGATGCGTGAAATACTAAAAGTCAAAACAGAATATTACTGTAGCATAAACGAAGCGCGACGCAAATACCGGGAAAGAAATCCATCTGTAGCCCAAGGAATTGGCAAAAGTAAAACCTACGCTGCTATTGCCTCGCAAATCAAGCCTAATAAGCCTTTAACTCCAACTCCTTCCAATGAAAAATCTGTTACACCATTAACCAAAAATTATATTGCGAAATTAGTTCCATCACCCGCCAAAGATAATATTGAAAAAACCAAAGCAATATCAAATATTGAAAAAATTAAAACAACAACGTATATGCTAAAATCTAATAAACTAAATTCCCCAGAATCTCCAGGTCTCAACTCTAGTCTACAAATTAAAAGCTGCAATGAATCCAATATCCACTCAAAATCTATTCGTTCATCCATTAATCAACCTTCAATTTCAAATTATTCACGCCCACTCGTTGCGCTTCAAATGTAGCAAACCACCTAAGTACAGATTATTATGCTGGTAAGAATAAATTATTCGCGCAAATTTCCTATATGTCAACTTAACCCTCTTTCCACTCTTCTTCCATGTAACTACAATTAAATAAAGTTCTTAAAATTCTACAATGGAACATTAAAGCTGTTATTAATAATTTTGATGAACTACGTACATTCATAAGTGATTTTAATCCAACTTTTTTATCGCTTCAAGAAACCCATTGTAGAAGCTCTTTTAATACTATTCCTCCCAAATCATATACTGGATACTTCACGAATGCTGATCAAAATTCATATTCCAAACAAGGAGTTGGTGTTTTTATAAAATCAAATATACCTCACAAACGCATAAATTTTAGCTCAAACATACAAGCCGTAGCGATACAAATAATCTTAAACATAAAATTTACAGTGCTTTCGCTCTATATCCCACCTTCGCAAACGTTTTCTCAGCAAGAACTCTACAATTTATTCTCCGTACTGTCTTCGATTAAAAAACTCTCTTTTAACAAGGGTGAATTTCATACAGTATGTTGCTAGGAGAAGCCATGCGCATATTAACACTATTCTTTATCTCATAAAAATGCTTGTTTTAGGCAAGACTGACTATGCTTTGATAATTTATGGCAATTGCTGCATATCTAATATCAACACCCTTGAGCCGGTCTACCACCAATCCGTCAGGGCAAGTTGTTATGCGTTTCGACGCATATAAATAATATTGTAATTGAAACTGGTCTCCCAATTTTACAAAATAGACTTTATGAGTTAAAAGCTAAAATAGTCCCCAAGCTTCTTTATTCAAACAAATTTATTCTCGTTGATGGCGTGAGATTATTATTCGAAGAAAATTCCAAAGTCACCATCTGCAATTGACTATTGTTTATAGGTCGCAAAGGGATTGAACATTCGCCTTGGTTATACAATTTGAAGTCAACAATGGATCTTGAAAAAGTCTTCCTCCCCAATCTGCAGTTGTGGACAAACTCTCACTATAAAGCACATTCTCTGCGACTGCCTTAACTTTTCCTTGGCTAGAAGTATTGCATTTGGAACGTTTAATCCTTTGGACATTCTACAATCAGTTTCAGAACGGAATATCAGTCAATTAGAGCCGATAGCCTGTGTTGCTAGTGCTCAATGTCTATTTTTTAGTCTAAGAATTTATTTCATTAGTCTAAAATTATAATAATAATAATAATAATGAAATCGACAGCTTTAGATGCTAGTGCACTCTTAGAATTTATTTTCTTGATTAAATTAATAATAATAATAATAATAATATTGAACTATATTCGTAGAAATTATATTCGCAAAGTTGTAGAAAAGAGTTTTCCTACTGTACAAATGTTTTCGTCTATCGCATACACCCCACTTTTTGTATAATTTACTCTTAATCCTCCAGATACGAATAATTGACAAAATGGCTAGTATGGATGCTCCTTCAATTTTAATTATTTCCCCCGTAGAAATTATTAAGCAAATATTTTGGTATTGTATGTTATAATCATTTTTCAATAATGCATTAACGCGAATTTGTCATTCGCCATAACCTACAGAGGAGTCACATCTGGCTACAGAATAATTATTTGTAGTTGCGATGTTTGTATAATGGTTTTCATATATACTTTTCTTTAATTAATTCGCTAACAATGACTAAAACGGATTCCATTGATAAGTGACACAATTCTGATATAAGTAATAAATCGTTTCTTCGTAGCCTTTGCATAGGAACCGAGCAGAAAGGCAATGCTGATTGCCAAAGAAATCCGTTGATAACACTGACGTCCCCTATCAAATTTAATCCGCATGCTTAAGACGTTAGTATAAACCTTTTTGGAATGGCAAATCTTCTGATCGGGAAAAACGTAAAATTTTATAATCTTTTAATATGGGTCCCACAACCACTTTCATTTGTACCTTTGCAAATTTTTGGCTTGGAAAATTTTTTTTTAACAAATTCAAAGAATTCCTTTAAACAGCAACAGGCCCGAATCCTTCGGGCTTAAACAGCCAGGGTTCTGGAAAATGCTACGAATCTCTCATAATATCATAGATGTGAACATTGATTTGGGTGTTTGCTGATTTAAAACAAGCCGTTCAGGTTTGTTTCCTTAGTAAACCACTTTTCTATAAACCGTACGGATGTATACATACGTAAAGTCCTACATATCCCAGATTGCTATGGTCGGGCACTGTTAAATCTTGCGTATTCGCTAAATTGAAAAAAAAAAGAATTTCAGCACGCAGTGTTCCCCGATCTTCGTTATTAAATTTTAAAAATATTTTTGATTTTTAGCAGATTATTTTCGAGAATACAGTTTAAATAAAGAAATGAAAAAATCATACCTATTTTGTGGCCTTGCCGGCGCGACATAAATTTGTTATTATCTAAGGCTTTTTGAGATGAACTTCATAGGTATTATTAGGGATGAGGGGCTTTTTCGAACTTCTACCTTAGCACTTCTGCGGCGATCGAATTTTGATGAGATTAATTTATCTGAACTGTATTTTAAATTAGTGTTTTTCATTCCCGCAGTATTAGATGCGAAAGCAAGGATGATTTAGAAGACTCAATGTTATTTACCAAGGCTCCAATTTTCGTCACTTCTCGAGGCTGCTTAAGCTAGTGAAAGTCAAACAGGTTTTTTTGCGCGTCCAGAATACATATTTTATTGCCTCTTGAAATTTTATGAATATATCATTAGAAGAAAAGACGTGATGATAGTGAAGCATTCGTTAGCTTCTGTAATATTTACATTTGTTTACTTCAACTTAATCCGCCAGAGTGGCCGAGTAGACAAGAGTCTCGACCAGCAACTCCAATGGCCGTGGGTTCAAATCTCAAGTGCGGCAGAGTTTTTAATAAAGCCGAAAGACTTAGATGCTAGTGCTTTTAAGAGTTTAGTCTTAGAATTTATTTCTCTGGCGAAATTAATAATAATTATAATAATAATAATTTCCGCATAATAACGTTTATAGGTGAAACTTTTTTTTGTTTCACATAAGATACAAAAAATGGAACGGGAACAATATTAGTTCATTTAAATTACCCTTGGCTCGAATTTAACGAAAAGTTTCTGCTTTGTTCTTAGAGTTATACCGTATTCCAAAATTAAGTCTTTTGTCTGAATAACGGGTAAAACTCGATAAGCCCTTAGTATGGCCACCAAAGCAGCTTTAATTTCCAGCATTGCAAATTTTTGACCTGAAAACATAAAGAGAAACGAAAAATTTGAAGAATTGTTCTTTAAACATTCTAAGTTAAGACACAAACCGATGCAATTTCTTGAACCAGCGCTGAAAGGCACAAAAGCAAATGGATGCATGTTGTGTGTATTCTCTGGTAAAAAGCGTTCAGGTTTAAACACGGAAGGTTCAGGAAAATGTTTTGAATCTCTCATAATGTCATTGATATGAATATTAACTTGCGCGTTTGTCGGTAAAATTAAACCATTTAAAACTGTTTCCTTGGTACAAAGCCTTTGTATAATTGGCACAGATGGATGCATTCGCAAAGTTTCCTTTATCACACATCCCAAGTATTCCACCTTGTTAAAGTCGAACACGGTCAAGTTCTCAAAAGCGGCTAAATAAGAAAGAAGAGTTTTAAAACGCATGTATGTTTTTATTACCATTTTCGAGCAATACTAAGATTTTCGATTTCCTGATAGCATCTCTTTTGTATATCTGGATACTGAGCTAGGTTCAATAAAGCAAATTTGAGACACGTTGAAGTGGTGTCATAGCCTTCGAACATGACCGTATCCACTTCCTCACAGATACCTTGGTGATCTATAAGTCCTTGGGCTTCATTATGCAGTAGTGTATCCAACATCGCATAACGTGTTTTCACATAAGAATTTCTAAAAAAAAGCCAAGAAATGTTTGAGAGCTGATTTCTCGCTTGGGAGGAAGGGACTTGACGATATTCTGCAATACGAAATTTGTGAAGGAAAAAATAACCATCGGAATTCACATTCATAGATAACCATCGATAAAAAGCTCTCGTGCTGATTGCGGCTACCTACGTGCTCATAAATTATGCCTATATGTATAAGTTTCAGATAATATATAGATACCCAGACCAATTCGTCAAAAGTCTATGATAATAGAAGTCAAATAAGGAAATTACATTTGGTCGTGACCGAATTTTTTATAGCCTTAACCGTTATACTAAAAAAGACAAAAAAAGTAAAAGAAGTAAATTTTCATGCCTCAAGGAAGAAGTATTTCAATACTGAATATTTATCGATTCACATAAGTTGGAAACTGTAGATATCTTCATCGATCTAGGGACTCTATTCGACCAAAGATTACGTTTTAATTTGCACATTGAGCTCTCTTTAAGTAAAACTAGGTCCGCGCTAGGTGCCATTAAGAGGTGGTCTAAAGAGCTTAAGGGTCCTTTCATTAGAAAAAGGCTATGTGTGTGCTTAGTTAAGCCAATACGCAAGCCTGCCATGCCTCTGTTGTGTGGTCTTCTTCATATAGATGTTATGTAGATTCAATTGAATGCGTTCAAATGCAATTCTTGCTGTTTGCTCGTAGGAATTTGTGTTGGGACCCGGTTGTCTCTCTGCCTCCTCATGAAAATAGTTTCTTTCTGTTGTCTTTACCATCACTTGAGATACGTACGCCTTGTTCTTGGTGTTTCGTTCTTAATAAAGTTAATTAATCGTACTATCGATTCATCCACATTACGTGGCGAGGTGAGCTTAAATGTCCCTAACCGCTTCTCTATACACTTTGTCTTCATTAACCTTAGTCAATGTGAATATAATTATTAGCTGTGTAATCCGTTCAGAGTTGTTTGGAGAAATCTAAATTATGTCTTCCACTTAATCTCAATATCGGACTTTAAACTCCATCAAAACAGCTATGCTCCAAAATATCCAATTTGCGTATGTATGTATTTAAATTGGCTTACAATTTTACCACCTTACTATGATTCGAAAATTAGGTTGTGTTGTTTACTGTTATCGGCTTTCGCATGCCTGTAATGGGTTAGAGTAGTGGCTGTGCGTGTGCGTCTGTCCTAGATATGTACATCCTTCTTTTCTTTTTATCTTTCTTATTTGTTTACACATGAATTATAATTGTTTTTCTTTGCTTCTCCTTATATGCTTTGTATTAATTTTAATAGTAATTAGTGTAACATTCACTTCGCAAAGTCGATTCAATTCGACTGTTAATTTATTTTTATATGTAAGTAAATAAATAAATAATATGGTGTGGGCGTGTTTGATCGTTTTCATTTTCAATATAAAAGTTTTTGTCGCATGACTGTGTAAACCTTGTAGGCGTATCCTTTGAAAAGTTTAAGCCCCTTCCAAATTGTTTTGCAAATTTGTAGCCGATATCTTTGTTTTCTGCAACGGGAGAATGTTAACCACAAATACTAAGCAGTTGTGCAGACACATAGAAAGACAGACATACAGGTGGACATGTTTCGGTGCATTTCAAATTTGAATCTGACCAATATTTTATATACTTTTTGGGAGTTTTGAAGCATGTTTCTGCGTGTTATAAACGTATTGTAAAAAAATTAAATTTTCACACACTATGATGATGGGTGGGCGTGCTCACTTTTTCCATTTTTGTGCACAAAAGCTACAGCATCACCCGTAGAATATGCGTTCAAATTTTTATAGATTTATTTGCTATAATTTATGAGCAACGAACAAAAAATCAATTTTTCATTCCTTTTGAAAAACAGAGGTTTTCCCAGTTTACTTGATGCTGTGGACGTGTTCTTCGAGCCATTTGGCCCATTTTCAAACTGCATTTCAATATTTCTGCCAAATTGGAAGTCGATAGCTTCATTTTGCATTGCCCAGACAGACATATGGACAGACGGGAATAATTAAATCGATTTAAAATTTGATGCTGATCAAGGATATTTATATCTAGTGGGGTTTCTGATGCCTACGTTGCAAATGTTTTGAAAAATCAATACAACCTCATCCTTCGGTGACGGGTATAAAAAAATATCATTTTGGAGAAATTCCAACTACTTACTCTTTATCGATCTTGCAACCGTTATCCTCCTGGAAGAATTTTTTTCGCTTTTTACTTATAATTTTGCCACTGAAATTGTGAATTATTTCTGCATAATGTTTGGTCTCGCTGTATTGCCCGAAGAGATAAAATATGATTCTGTAATACATCAATGGATTACAGACTCGTCTCACTATCATTGTGCTAAGATTATGAACAGCTGCACGATATTCAGTTGCACCGTCAATCTCGTTTAGCTTAACTCCTAAGGCGGTCTCTGGAGAAAAGAAAGCGTTGAAATAGTTATATATTTTCTCATATATTTTATTGCAGATCGCGTACCGCAAACGTTATTTAAGGAGAATTCATCTATAACATCGCTAATATTGACATCCTCGTGTTGGAGATGTTTTAGTTTTTCCAAAAGTTTTAAACTTTCTTCTCTGAAAAACAAAATTACTGTCGATTACGTATAATATCCATTTACCCATTATCCATTTATCTTTACTTGAAGATTTCATTAAAGGTTTGCAAGATATTGAAATGAAAGGCTGGCGTTAACATTTTACGTCTTAAATGCCATTTTTCTTCTGAAAATTCATAAAATATTTGTTAGTTATCTGTGGTACGTAAGACTTTAAAGCGAGCTAACCGCTGCTTCTTAATAAGCCATCGCCAAGGAAAGGTTGGAGAAAGTCATACATAAATCCTTTAGTTGTGAGGGATTGACTCTGAAATAATTGCTCAGCATCTTCGGCATTAATTATATTATAAACAGGACCGATCAAGAAATTGAGAACATAACTGCGTCCCTTCGAAAGCTTAGTAAAGCTACGGGCGAGTTTAAATAGTTTGCCTATTTAATTATAAAACATTGGCTTTAAAAATTGATGTTCGTTGGAAGAGAATTAAGCTTATAAAGGCACACCTGGTGTCACGTTCACCGCATCGAAATTATTCCCGAAAATTGTTTTACCCGGTATAATGCAAACCTTTTCTTCCAAAGGTTTGCCTTCCACACACTTTATACGTTCACACAAAGCTAATATAAAATAATTTTCATTCACTTTACGTAATAGCAGGATTAAAATGATGAGAAGAACTACAAAAAATAGTAACATTTTTTATTTATGCAGACGCCACTCAGTGTAACGTTATTCCAATAAGTGTACTCAACGCCCTTTTGAATGAAACTGAATTTAAAAATTTCATTAATGCTATTTATTAAATATTAGCCAAAGCATTGTGTGAAAGTATTAATCTCTGCAACTATTTTTTAACAGATAATGCAAATTTATATTAATTTTAGTTTTGCGGTATTCCTAAGCAGTGCAAATAATGGAATTAGTACGGTGAGAATATATATGAGTTTGCTCTCTATTTCGATACTCGATAAAAGAGAATTTGCGGTCTTATCTAAACATCAAGGGATGCCGATATGACTTCCTAACTGTAGAAAGGAACAAGCAGGAGTCTCTCAGGGTTAATCTGTTATCCTGAACGTCGTTAGTTGAATAAATCCTTTTGAATAGACAGTTTGGACTGCGTTTTCATGATATCATGCTATTAATCTGCAGTTTCCCGCATAATTTTGGAACGGCTTAGGCTATCGATATTCATAAAACCTGACCTAAGTTCATATATGTCATTACCGATGACTTGTAAATTTTTGCTAAGTGAGGTGCAGAGGTTGGCCCAAGTTCATGCCAATCTAAACACTTGTTTTAATTATCGACATTTGACTTATTGTATATTATTGCATTACTTTTTTATACAATGTTTTATACAATGTTCATTTTATACAATGTTTCAAATGACAATAAACAAACGGATTTTGAAAAGATAGTACGTGCAAAGCGTTAGAACGTGAGAACGACGATGCGGCACATGCACTAGGTGTACCAATGTAAAATTGTGTTTTCTTTTTCAAAATAAAAAGAAAGTTTATCTCATAAAA